TCTCTGCTTACTCATTTGCTTGTTTAATCTCTTTTTTTAAAAATAACTTTTTGTTGTGATTTGGGTGTGTTTAATCTCTTTTATATCTCAAAAGAGATCAACTTAAGAGGTACCCTATATTGATCCTGTCTCATTAACATAACAAAGACAGCCTGTTCCCAAATGGGATTACAATCACAGGCACAGAGTTTAGGATTTACAACAGACATTTTTGGGGGACACAATTCAGTCCATAACAGCTGCTAACTGAAAGGGTGGAGGTTCAAGTCACTCAAATGTGCCTCAGAAGAAAGGCCTGGCGATCTACTTATGAAAACTCAACCCCCGGATAGCTATGGAGCACAGCTCTACTCTGATGCACAGGGGCCAGGAGTTGGCGTCCCCTTGACAGGATTGGGTTCTGGCTCCGCTCAGCTGAGTGCTGGCCTGTGTCCAGCAGAGCTTTTGGGCCATGCAGGTCTTTGGGGAGCCGCCAGGAGGGTCCACTATGAGACTGTGGGTAGAGGCCCTGCCTGTGCCCACCCTGATGCTATCAGAGCTGGCACGCAGACACCCCAGGAGAGGCCATCCTATAATCTCCCTGATTACCTTCAGAGTCAGACATGCGGGCGGCCCCGGCCAGAGGTCCCCAGGCAGCCTCCTGGCCCTGGCCTTTACAGTGCTGCTCTCTGAGCCCAGGGAAGCCGGCAACATAGGGTCTTCTCTGAAAGGGGCCAGCGATGGCCTTACTCCCAGTCTCTGCCTGACACCAACAAAAGTCAATCCCAGAGTGGGTGATGACCTCCCCCCAGGCTCCCTGCTGAGACCACAGAAGCCTATGAGCCCCGTGAGAATGCCTGGGGTCCTTTCATTATAGTTGTCATTCTGCTCTCTCCTGTGCCCTGTGGGAGTCTGTTCCCTGTGTGACCCAATTCCCTGAGGGGGGCCTTGGCTTGGCCTTCTTTTGCATCCCCCTCAGCACCTGCACCAGGTCATGTCAGGCACATGATCGATGTTAGAGAAATATTTACCACGTGGGTTGATGGTTCTAGAGCCGCCAACCCAGGGGAGATGTGATGAATTTCTGGCACCTTCCTCCTGACCTCTCATTCACTCACAGGCTCACTCATTGACTCACTCATTGACTCATTCACACACTCATTCACTCACTCATTGACTCATTCACACACTCATTCACTCACACACTCTCTCATTGACTCATTCACACACTCATTCACTCACATGCTCACTCATTCACTCACTCATTGACTCATTCACACACATGCTCACTCATCCATGCCTTTCGTGACTACCCTGCTTGAGACAACGGGATTCCAGGAACAAGCTGGACGTGGCCACCATCCCTGCTGCAGGGAGATGAAGCCCAAAACGACAAATAACTATGCACACTGGGGCCTGAGGAGCCTGGGTGGGAGGAAGGCAGGGTCTGAGGAGCCCAACAGGACAGGAATGGGGGGCGGGGTCCTGCTATAAACACGTGCATCATCCACACTAAGAACAGACTCCAGACAGCCATCGCTGGGGCCCAGGACCCCTCTGTGCAGGGCGAGTACTTCGTGTGTTTGGTCTCTTGGGGAGAGAGAGTTTCCAGCTTTTGTCAGATTCTTGGAAGCCTGTGGCCTGCAAAAGGCTAAGAACCATCAGGCTTTTGCTTGGAAAGAACATTCCGGTGGCAGGACTGTGAAGGCAGGCAGCTTCAGGGTAGCGTGCTGGGCTCTCACACACCCTGCTGGGCCCTCATCTCGAGGGACACAGCTCCCCGGGGACCACTTCACACTACATACAGCCTCCTCTGGACCTCCATGCCACCAGTCCTAGGTCTCTCCTGGTCCCACCGACACGATTCCCACTTGTCACTCTCTCCTGCTCCTCCTGGTGCCAACCCAGCACCGTCACTGCCCAGCTGCCAGAGCCTGACCTGGGACTGAGCCTGGCTCCTCCCTCCCTCTCCACGCTCTCTGTGATCACTTGCTGTCAGCAACCTCACTGCTAACAGCTCTCAACCTAACCTTGGTTCTCCAGCCCTAAGCCAGAACCCATGTGCAGGCAACCATGGCAGGCTCATCATGGCCTTTCCACCTGCCCCCACCTCTTCCAGCTACTTCTCCACACGCCAACCACAGCCCATAAGGATGAACACACTTTGCTGACAATGCGTGTCATCCAGCCGTTAGAAAGCACCAACACACGCTACGACGTGACTCAGCCTTGAAATCCTGATGCTAAGTGAGAGAAGCTAGACACAGAAGGTCTCGTGATGCATGATTCCATTTATAAAAAATGTCAGAACAGGCAAATCCATACACACAAAGTTGTTTAGTGGTTGCCTAAGGCTTAAAGGAAGGAGCCCTGGTGGCGCTGTAGTTAAGTGCTCAGCTGCCAACCAAAAGGCCGGGGATTTGAACCTCCCCAATGGCTCCACAGGAGTAAAACCCTGGTGATCT